GCTTCCGAGTATAAACTAAACTATGTTTGTTAGGTGTTTGTTACAGGAAACTGTGTTCTTTTTGTTTTATTATAACTTGTTTATTTTTAATCAGCTTAACCAATCATTTAAACCAAGTTGTTTTACACAATGCTGAAAATATTTTTTAAAATATGTTCTTTATGAAAAGTTACTTCCGTTTAATTTTAGAATTTAATTTTGCAACAAGCGACGAACTTTGTTGTTTGTATGTAGTACATTTAAAAATTACAACTATCTGGATTTTTGAATACTTTACTAACTCAATATTTTCAAGTAATTTTTCAAAGAAAACTTGATTTTTAAATTATTTCAAAAAACTAAGGGTCAAGTTGGTTTTTATATAAAACTGAGCAAAACCGAACAAACGACAGACGCATAACTGCTATTTGTTATACCAAACTGGAGAATTTTAAAACATTTTGCTCAACTATTCTGCGATAACATTTTTAAAGCTTGCAAATAATAATGGGTTTACACGAACAAAAAATTGCTGGTAAAATTTCCCCGTTGCTGCTGTTGTTGTTTCTAATGTTACTTGCAATCCAACAAGCCTGCTTGGTTAAACCAAGCGTATTTAATGCAGAGGGTGCATTTCTTATTTTCAGTGGCGCCATCTACGATCAAGAACATAACTTCAGCCCCGCCATGCACACACATTAGAACCCGTTTACATGCGGACCCATTTCATACATCCATTCATTCACCCACGGATCGGATCGTAATTTTGACCTGAACCAGAGAACGATCAATCTCCAATTCAGTTCCCTCAAAGGTATTATTTGTTATGGGGACATGGAGGACTTCGTGATCACACAGATTTAACGTGCAGCAGTCATCATTTACTGCACGGGGAGTCCTCGGCTGGCAGGGATCGGACCCACGACCTGTTAGACATGGGTCCAACGCCCTACCAACCAGGCTCAAAATTTCCTCGCTATATGGTAGTGACATTTCGAGGGAAAAAAACATATTTCTGCATAACAACACCGAAATACGAAATATACTGTATTTAAGCCAATTATTTGGTAATTTTTCCGTTCATGGTTTACCGGAATTTACGGTTTAACGGAAATTTATGTTTTCAATTACAGTTCTTATAACCATATATTTAGTAAAAAATAGAAAACTGAAAAGTAAATTTAAACGAACAAATGGTTTTTATGCTATGCTCTAAGGTGACATAAAAAAATTACCAAATTTTATCAGATATTATAAAACTGCTTTATTGATAATTTTTCATAAATCATTACCAAAGCGCTTCCAAAAAAACCTTACAGAGCTTTTAAATATTCCCACAGAGCCAGAAACATGGTAAATTTTACCATTTTCGGGTAGTTTTGACCATACTTTTTTTCTCAGTGTAGTTTAGGCTCTTTTGCTGATTTTTGTGAAAAAATATGCCTAAGCTTTCTGACAAATAATTCAATAAATTAGCATTAATATTTTAAATATACAATAAAATAATTTTCAACGTTATAAAATTTATTTAAATACTCATATATATTATTAACTTAAGTGTAACTTCGGTCAACTTGACAACTTAGCCTAACTTTTTAGTTTTAAACATAGAATGTATCATTAAAACACTTTTTATCAGTTTAAAATGATCTATAATGATCGATAATTATTAAAAATCTTTATAAAGGAAACAAATACATTTTTAAAGTGTATCTTCATAAATTTACAAATCTGGTATTTTGAAGACATACAATTGGGATTGGAAGCTATTATTTTGGGTCACCAATAAGAAGCTGTAACTGCTGAACACACTATTACCAGGAGATTAAAGACTTAGACCAGTCGAAATTAATTGAGAGACATAGCATTGGACTAGTGATGTAAATGCTGATGCTCTATTTGATGGCGTTTATTGCAGAATCCCTTACTATACAAGATTGGATTGCTCTACAGTTAAGGTACAATACATTCTATTCTATTTTAACACGTAACAGTAATAATTGAGTGACGTATCTAACATCTTTCTGAATCTATTTCACGGTTATTATTTTTGTTACCCACTTTTTATACTTGTTCCCCAAATTTCGAATTCGGTCTTCACCCTTTAATACCATCACCTCTTACAACGACCCTTTCATTATAGCGGCCAATGCATCACTATCCCGTTTCTATTCTACGAATGCAATGCTATTTTAATGTCCATTCGAAGGTCTACATTAAACCAGCTATCTCAGTAAAACGACCGAATTTAGTCATTTGATTAAGAAAAAGTTTCGAATTAATTATTTAAATACTATTTCGTTTGGTGTTATCACATAATAAATGTAAAACACCTTGAATCCCATTTGAATCAAGGAAGTGTGACACAAACTCCTAAATTCTTATCCAAAGTAATCGTAGTTTATGATATTATTCACTATCTGTGCAACTTTCTTCTCAATGGATACAATAAATTTATCAGTCATACTTTTCATGTTTGAAAATACTCTTTTTGTGATTTATTTTCGAGTCAAAACATGTAGCCTTTGCAGTTATCTGGAAGTATGTTATTTATGTTGTGGTTTTAAGAAGGCAACTGCACACGGCTCATCGAGTAAAAACTATTTAACTGAAAACATTACTATGCTGGAACTTTTATAATTCTTTTTATTTATTTTATATTCTCCAATTGTTCATATCTACAAGATCAATGGATTTCAACAATATTATTTTTATGAATAAAGTTATGGAACCTGAAATAAAGCCACAAGAACAAAGCAAGAGGCTTACGTTTGGGATGAACCAGTAACTATAAATAAATAAATAAATAATCTAGAGAGGTCCTTAGACTTCATAACTTTAAGAATACATTCTGCAGAGGACAAGTTTTTACAATGCTTCGAACATCTATTTAACTCGGACATTAAAGAAATATTTTACAATTCTATATTAGAATTTTTTCTAGAGGAATAATTTTCTCGTTATAATGGATACAAGTATCCTTTTCAAATGTCGCTGGGGAAACTAGAAAATACTGATACAGTAAAAAATTCTGATACAATTACAATGCTATATGGTAATTACATTTCTTTTAAGAAAAACTAAAAAAAAAAAAAAAAAAAAAAAAAAAAAAAAAAAAAAAAAAAAAAAAAAAGCAAAAACGTAGTTCTAGTAATAGAAACAGGAATATACGATTTTTCAACCATTCGTTTAGTAATTTTTTTTATTCATATGGTAACGATTTGCCGGAAATTCTGGTTTCTTGTTACCAAACATTGAGTAAAATAATGCAAAACTGAAAGGTAAATTATTTTCAATAAATAATTTTTATTCCATGCCTAAAGGAAAGGTATTATGATAAAATTGCCAAATTTTATTACATATCATAAAACCATATGTATTTGTTAATTTCACCAAAATCCTTTCCAAAGCAATACGATAAAAATTACCGAGCTTTTTGGTGTTCTTCTAGAGCCAGAAGTATGGTAAATTTTATTATATTCTGGCAGTTTTGACCTTACTTTTTTCTCTGTCTACGAAGGGGATATCCCTCTCGGTTAAGTACCTCATCAGCTTTTCAAAAGCACTGCACACTGATTACAGTTCTAAATATAATTATTCACGTTCTTAGTAAATAATGGTTGACATAATTATCGTATTTTGCAAAATAAACATTTGTGCAGCCACTTTTTTTTTATTTTTTGAAAAAAAAAAGACCGCACGTTTTAAGGAAAGCTAGATACAAATGGGTTTATAGCGCATAACAGTAATGAAAATAAATGAAACAATTCTGAGAAGCAATACATTTGATTAATATAAAAGAAAAGGGAGTTTTTTGCCTTTAGAGTTTTATAGAAGTTAGCATTTAAAAAAAAAACTTTTGTTAAAGTAAAATACTGTTTTAAAACTTTTTAAGAATAAGATTTTTTGAAAATTTATGAGAAAATTTTTTTAAATTTGTACTTTGAAAACAGAAGGCAACAATCTTTCATCAACAGTAGCCGAACCTACCTTTTTAACTCATTTGCTTGAGTAGCGTAAATCAATACCCACTTCATATGAACAAATAAATAATATATGTTTTTTGTACCACTTTTTCTGGCGTTGCATTACTAGGTTAAACTAATAACGACATTATGTATGCATAACACTAGAAAAATATTATACAATTGAATGAACAATAGTAAAAAAAATTATAAATATTAATTATAAACTATGAATATAAACCAAACTACCACTTTTTCCTCTAGGTATTTTTCAAACATGGACCACATTTTGTGGCTGAGCATGGGCATTAAATGGTTAAACTAGTAACGAAACTATGTACATAACACTAGAGAAGTATAATACAATTGAATGCGTGAAAAGAACTGTAAATATAAATGAGGCTGAAAATTGATGGTGTGATAGGAGGAATCATTCGTGAACAGGCTTTTTTTGGATTAAACTGGAAATATTTCAACTAAAAAGATATTTCTTGTTTATTATTAACTTTTTTAATTCAAATGAGATTGCTAATCAATCACAGTATGCTTAATCAAACAGTAATACATAGCTATATGATTCCAGTATTTTTATTTTTGATTAGTCAGTTACTTCATGAACATTAAACAAATACAATTTTTACACAGCATCAATGAATAGGAAAATGTTAGTGAAATAATAAGTTTATTAGTTTTAAAATCGTGAATTATGTAAAAAATTTTGAGCGTTCGCGGATAGAAAGAAGTTTAAGAAAGTATTGTTTTAATAGGGTGATTCGATTTTTTCGTCTTCTATGTTTTACGATGGCTAGTGATCGGAAGGCGTGATTGCTGGCAAGAAATTAACTTACAAAAATTAAAGTTTATACTATAATTTCTCACAAATGCCTTGACATGTTGGCAAAATACAGGCTTCTTGACATTTCTAATGCAATTGTTTTTTTTTTCTTTTTTGTAAAATGTAATCAATTTGAAGTAAGTTTTGTGTAATTCTAATATTTAAATTAAATGAATTAAATATGTGAGTATTATTTTATTTGTATTTTTCTTTACTTACAGATGGTCTCAAGGCCTATTATTTCATCAAGGATTGGTAGATTGTATTAGAGCAAGCCTGATGATACCTTTAGGAATAAGTGTTTTGATGTGTCAGCGCATGCCTAAATGTTCGATAGTTGAAACTGCATTCCTTCTCCTAGTTACAGTATCAACTGTCAACATACTGACATCAGTTATTAATGATGCTCCTCTCTTACCAGAACAAAATGAAGTATCTGATGGACCCGAAGGAGGTTATACATTAAATTCAGAAAACAATCATGTAGTTCTTGATAGTCCTCAATGTATTGTCTTTGGTTTATTTATTATATGGTTTGCTAGTTTTACAATTAACCTTGGACCAACTTTTTTGAGTGGAGCTTTATCTTCAGGAAGAGATGGTGTTGCTACTATTGATGCATGTCCAATGGTATACGCTCCTGTTAGACATTACGTGCTTAATATACTTTGGGTTACCGTTAATGTAATGTGCATCATTTTAACGGGCATACATCTGCGAAAATTATACAGGGACTTAACTAAATCGAACTTAGAAGCGCTGCGCATCGCTGGTTTAGTTACTACTATGATATCAGTTAGGTCTGAAAGGGACTTATGTGAATCTCAGCAAATTCAAAGCTACATAAGTAGACTAGAAAAAGAAGGTGTACGAAGGGTTAAAATGTTTGTCGTTCTTCTAGTAGCTTATCTTTTATTTTGGGGCCCTCTATTTATTGTAATACTGATACAACCCGGTATTAATGGACCTTCTTCATCCTATGAAATGTCTTTACACGTTGCATTTGCCCATACATTTGTCAATCCTACTTTACTGCTAGTTCTTCATAAGGAGCTAAGACATGCTTCCGCTTCTGTAAGTTGTTGTCATACTTGGTGTGAGCAAGAGGATTCAGAACCACCTTATGAACCAAGTCCAGCTAGCAGACTAAACAGAAGTTACATGTGAGTATGCCACATTTTATACAGAAATAAGTTGCATTTTAATCGGAAAAATTACTTTAGGAAACAGGTAAGATCATTTAATTCATGATTCATAAAAGTTTCAAAAATAATCATTAATATTGTACAGTTTAGCTGCAACCCAGAACCCAGTTATTTCAACATCCTTTTCCTGTATAGACTGTATCATTAGTATAGAATGCAAAAGAAAGTAATTTTTAATGGTTCAAGTTATTTTAAACCTGTTTAAGAAAAATCTTTTATAGCTGAACTTATCTTTGAACTTATATGAATCTTTTATAGCTTGAAATCAGTATTTGTACTGGATTACATGCGTTGATTATATCAAAACTAGAGCAAATTTTAATGTAATTTTTTTTATTTTCTCGCAACCAAATTATTTTATACTTTATATTATTGTTGCACATTATCGTATCTGATTTGTATTTAACCCACTGACGGTTCTTCACGTAAAAATTCGTATTTTAACCTGCAGTCTTCTCCGCATAACAAAAACCATGCTGTTAGATAGAGAAAAAGAGTATTGGGAAAAAACTTGCCCATTTGCTATACCGCCCGTGGGTTATTTATCAAAGCTCAATTAATGACTTTATATTACCTTAATTAGGCTGCATTTTCGAATGTGACTGATCATTTTATTACTTTATTGTGCAAAAATTGGTCTGAAAATTCCATCAAGTTTTGATAATACTAACAGTGTTTCAACATTATATGGCTTTGTAGTGTTTTAACATCATATAGAAATATTTAATTTATGGTTTAAAAATAGTCATTAATATTGTACACAACAGTGTAGCTGAAACAAAAGAACCCAGTTATTTTGACATCCTTTTCCTATACATCATTCCTATACATCATTAATATAGATTGTAAAAGAAATGGTTCAAGTCATTTTCAAGTTTCTAAATCTGGGCTAGAGAAATCTTTCATGACTAAACTCTTAAAATCATTATTTGTACTGGATTACATGCGTTAATAATATCAAAACTAATACAAATTTTAATATAACATTTTTATTTTCTCGCGATCGAATTTTTTATACTCTATATTATTTTCGTATTGTGTTGAACTCAATTGTCTGATTTGTATTTAATTACTAATTAAAGCTCAATTAACGATTATCTTAATTAGGCCGCATTTCCGAATCTGACTGATTACTTTATTGAGCAAACATTGTTCGGAAAATTCCATCAATTTTTGATTATACTAATAGTGTTTTCACATTATGACCTCATTTCTCCCACATCACAAATAAATTTTTTATTAGAGCAGAGTAACATCTGTGCCTGTCTTGCTTTTAAAGAAAAATCTAGCTGATTCATTTGAGTTTTAAATGTGTTTTTTGAGTTTTTATTGAAAGTAGAGCGAAAATGAATGTAAGTTCAAAAAATATGTTATTGAATGTTTTAAAAACTTTTTATTCGTATTGAATTTAGTGAATTGTAATCATCCTGCAATTTGATGGATGGTAAAAATATTTGAAGTTTATTTACAAACTTATTCATTCTTTTTATAAATAAAATGTTTTTTTCAAACCTAAATGACATTTTTTTCTTTCATCTAATGTCTTTCCGGTGTATAATTTAAGTGCATTTTATGAAAAGTTTTTTTTTTCATTCCGGAAAAATTAGTTAATTTTTATTTATTTTAAGATAATTTATTTTACATTTATTTCTTACGTTTATGAAATAAGTTTGACGGTGATTAATGTTTGTTATTAGCATTCATTTAGTTTTTCTTAATTCTTTTATTCCCTTATAGGATTCGTATTATTTAGATCTCTTATTTTCTTATAGATATAATAGTCTTCAATGCTTTCCTCTGAGAAATTATATTTACTGTCTATATAGTTACATAGTTGTTCAAATCTATACTCTGCAAGAGAGTTTTAGTAGATCTTAAAGCTAAGTTAAAATTATATGAATTAAATATACTGCAAATGAAGGAAATTCTTCTCCTTAAAAACATAAGTTTAAAACATTTAATGTTCAGTCATTCTCTTTGGTTAAAATTGCCTCTATCACAGGGTAAAAATTATAAAGTTCGTTTAAAGTCATTGTTCCCTAGAAGTGAATTACTTAAATTAAAATGCTTAATGATAAACGAATCTAACGTGAAAACAAATATTGCATTAAAAAAGGCCTATTTTCTCTTGTTACAGATATACAGTCCCTGGCCAACTTATTAGACGCACTATGAGATTCTATTTAAAAATCTTAATTATCAGGTGATGCTATATAGCTTTATTGTTTTTAAGCAACTGAAACCGGTTTGTACTTGTTTACCATCGTGCCTCATTTGGTTAAATTCGACGATATATAAGGATTGGATAAATTAGACGATCTATTGTATAAATTAGAATATTTCTTATATCAGATATTGTATTAATGTATTATAATAATTAGACCAAATTATTAGACATACTGTAATTTTTTAATAATTACGAATTTATATGCAATACTTTTATATTTGAACATAAATGCAATGGGTTTTTATTCAGGAGGCCTTTTATATACTTCCTATTTGCATTTATTTTTAACGTATTGCATCGCATTGTTAAACAATTGATACAAGAGCGTAAATAAGTGCAAGCCGGTTACAGTCGAGTAAAAGCAATAAAGCTGTATAGTATCACCTGATAATTAAGATTTTACATAGAATCTTATAGAGCGTCTAAAAATTTGGCCAGGTAGTGTATTTACATTTATTAAATTAATTATGTTATTATATTGTTTTACATTATTATTATATTTATATACAATAGCTTAGATACAATGGTTAAGGAAAATTACTATACTAACTCTATATAAACAATCTTTCTTTTAGCAGCGAGTGTTTTGGAAGATTTTACATGGCAAAACTTTTGGCACAATCTGAATGATCATGCTTGAAGCTTTTAGTAACGGCTTCTTTTTTACCGATGCAAACTTTTCATCGACGAAACCAAAACTAGAGTAGGAAATTAAATCCTTCCTTTTTTTTTCAACGCCACTATGTATAAAAAGCATTCTTGCATAAATGTTGCAATCATATGGAATGATTTCAAAACTGCTGGTATAAAGTTAGAAAGAAGTTTTAAACTTCCTTAACTGTTTTTTTGTCTATCCAAATTTTGCATAGGTAAAACGAATACCATTTCTAAAAGTTTTAATCATGATCTTTTAAATTGTATCAACAGTTTTACTATGTAAAATCTTCCAAAAAAACTAACCGTTAACAGAAAGTTTGTTCACACAGAGTTAATACAGAAGTATTTCCATACCGATCTCTGTACATCCCGTCAAGTACCGTCAAGAAAAACTTCATTGACTCAGTGAAGCAAGAATTAAAGAAGTCGTTTTTAGGTGGGTGGTCAACTTTTCAAGGACTCCAAATTCGAGCCCGATTATTCCAAATTCGATTATTTGAAGCAGTGAAAAACAGGTTTGAGATGCTATTAAATGTCCCAAACAAATTAAGGCGCCCTTAACATATTATAATATATGTTTAATGAGCAAAGTAAACAGTGGAATACTTTAATATCTTATGATTTAGTGATTCGATTGTTAAGTAGTATGATACAATCTTCATGGATTCAGGGGCTTACCTAAAATATGCTGTTTTCTTGAAGCATATCATACCTTAAGTTACGAAATCAGATACAAGAATGTGCTAGCTTTTTTTAAAAATAAACAGGATTTTTTTCGACGGGTTTTGATTTTCGTGCCAAAAATGGTTAATCGGAAGGTCAATCGGACTTATGGTTAATCGGATTAAGACACTACTGCGATTATTTTACCGTAATTTCAGCATGAAAATGCTAACAGTGTATATATATATATATATATATATATATATATATACATGGAGGCATATCCTTAG